CGATATTTTCGATATATCGTAAATAATTCTAAAAGACAAAAGGAAGGAAATTTAACTAAAAGTAAATAAATAAAACCACCAGTTATGACGCAATAATCAAATGTTTTTCTTATTCTTATTCTTATTGGCCAGCCGCACACATACGATATTATTGACAATCCAAGTTTATGTATGTTCCCAACACAACAATATTATTGTTGTCTATATTATTGTGTGTGTGCGGCCAGCCAATGAGAATATAACCACTAGTAGTGGTCCACTACGTTACACTAACGGATGACCAGCGAATCAGCGTTCGAAGTGCGTTTCATTTCTGGAAGTACAATTTTGAATTATGTACTTTCAACTTTGTACGATTTTTCATGTATCGGATAAAATATATAGATAGTACTAATCGATACCGAATGATACGATAATATCGGATTGATTCGATATATCGAGGGCATATATCGATATTTTTTGAATATCGATATATATCGAGCACTCAACGCGGAAGGTCGTGATTACCGACCACGAACTGGTTCGAAACATATCGAGCAAAAATTCGACTAAGAGTCGTACTAATACGGTTCATTTTGCTTGGGTCGAGCGGGAGGGACACTGGCTTTATTTCAGAATTTATTTTTTTAGAAACAAAATTAGAGCCATTTCAATAATGCATATATATAATATATATATAATATAATATATATATTATTATTATTATTATTATTACCTGTTACGCAGTTGGTTAAATCGGAAATTGCAATTCTTTATTTATCCGTTGATCAGTATTGGTATGTAATAGCATAGGTAAGTGGAAGACGCCGAGCACTTCACCTCCTCAACAAACACTCACCGTGTTTCAAGTGACCAAGTGGTCACGTCTCCACCTTCACTTTCTACGGCTTTTTGTCCACCTGCTGGCCATTGAACCCAACGCAGCAGGGGGCTAGTAAAAGTGTTCTTTGACCGTTTTTTTTTAAAGTCCAATAATTTTATTTTACGCAAACGTTAACTTTCTTTAAAACTAGGTTCATTCGAGTACAATTTGACGCTGGAAAAGTAAGACGTCTAACATGCATTAAGAAAATATTACAGAACGATTTAAAGTACTTTCTTGAAGAAAAAAATACTTTAATTTTATTTGTTATATGGAAAGCTAAAGGGTTTCAGCTTTTCCATATAATAAATAAAATTGGAGTTATGATTTTTTTAATCTAAAAAAAGTTACTTTAAATCGCTCTCCTGTAATATTTGCAAAATATACATTGGACGTTTTACCTTTCCAAGCAAGGATCATTTTCTTTCAAATAGTTTTTAAGTAATAACTTAAAACTACAGTACTCCAAATTGGTAGATACTCGTATAGCTTCGTTTCGTATACGGTTAGAGAGAGTGAGACAGAGAGATATTGAATAATCGAGAATACCACTCGAACGTTCTATGTTCTCCACAGTCATAACATTTTTTACAAAAATCCGACCTCAAGTGGAGTTACATCTATTTGCCAAGGTTTATTGAAGTCTGTAGGAAAGTGGGTGAAATCCAATGTATTGAGTTGTACACAAACACTCAAAAAAATAATTAAATAGCCACATATTTAGAAATTTCACAAAGAAAAGTCAGCTGTAAAAAACGAATAAAAAATGAAAAATATATGAAAAATATGTAAAAAATTCATTGACTTACAATTATATGGACGTCAGGTCCGCGCTAAAAAGTGTCCGAACTTATAGGGCGTTAAAATCGTATACAGAGCGTCATTCACACTTTAGTCTTCGTTTGTCAGTTCTTTAGTCAGTCGATGACAGCGAAGCAAGCAAAATTAGACAGTACTGCGATGACGTTACAATTTAAATAGTTTTAGCTATTTCATATTCCTTGACATGTCCTACGTTTAAATAGGTTGACTTGGGACATTTTTTTTCGTGGTTTTTGTATTAGACCCGTCGTCCATTTATTTGTAAGTCAATGAAAAAATATATAAAATAGATTTAAAATTATATAAAAAATATAAAAAATACATAAAAAATATATAAAAAACATATAAAAAATATATAAAAAGAATAATAAATAAACGTGACGTCGATTCAAAACCAATACTGAAAAGATTCCCGAACACCAATAACCCGGATTCATACCCATATTGGCCACCCTTAAAAGTGAAGGTTCGAATTTGAATGGGATAACTATTAAGGTACCCCCTTTCAAACAAAAAAGGATCATCGAAATCGGATGACAAGTGTCGGAGTATTCGCGACCATACACACAAAAAAAAATACAGTCTAAATGACACCCACCTCCTTTTTTTGAAAACGGTTAGTTGTACCGCGTTTCTCTAAAATTGTAACCTCAAGGTTAGCAAATTTTCCCCATAAAATCAACATTCACTTGTCAACACCCACTCGCGTTCAATCTGCTCTCGGAACAATCTCAATAATGAGTTCTGTACACTGTCGTGACCTTCGCCCGCAAGGCCGCGGCCCCGACCGGTACTCCGGCTAGATGATACTCCGATGATGATAATCTGTATGTTAGAGTACATCGACCTTTGTGATGTACGAACATTCCATCGCCATGTAAGAGTAACTATGATTTTTGTGGATGTGATATCATACACTCAACCCAATCTTACACCCAATCACAACATATTGTTCGTCTATTTCTTCGTATCTCATTTAAAATGCATATTATTATGATTTGATATTTATAACTTAACGATCATTAATCAGTCGTAACTGAATAGATTTGCTGTTTGTGTAGACGCAGCGCGTGCCAGCTAAAAACAATTTTACGACCCGTCACTTTCAATTCTCACGCATTCAAAGTGTGATTGATTATTCAGACTACAATTTGTCTTAAAAGCAAAAAAAATGCTGTGGCAGATGGACGAAACACTAAAAACGACTTTTGTGAGAAATGTAAATATAAATCTGTAATTTTGATGCCTGTCCAAATGAATAAAAGTAAAAAACGGGTTTCTCTTCCTGCAGGAATATATTAGTCTTATTTTGGAAATAGATTGGATGTATGTACAACATTATATTTAATGACAAAACAAACATATTCACAGGCGATTGGCTCTGTGTCGTCTTGCAGTATCTTGGTGATACAATGATATCCGGACAATAGCATCTGACATAGCCGACCATTAGAGTTCACACGAGTCAAGTTAGCTTCGCATCTAGCTTTTAGCCGGGTAGCACTAGAGCTGATCACCTTAGAATTAGAAAATCGTGTTTTTTAATAATAATAAAATAACCGCTACAAATTTTAAGCGGAACCGCTACTAATCCCGTTTAAACTGAGGGAGAATTTTGTTTTATGAACCACAAATCACTCCAACAAATTAACTTGGACATTTTAACACTTAGCAGTGACTAATAATAATTATAAAGAAATGACGTAAAATAATTTGAAAACAATAGATGCAGGTATTAGATTTTTTAAGTATGCATGCTCCATCGTCGACCTCATTGTCACTTTCCATCAGGTGAAATGGCGGTCAAATGCGCACTTAAATTTTTTATAAAAAAAATTGAACTATCAATGACTTTCTAAATCGCAGCATCAATGAAACAATTTATCACTCAAAAAATTCACGAGCCTTCCACACCTCTAAGTCCTCGCTTGCGGAGTGGTCAGACCGGTTCGGAGATGAATGGACGACCCGCCATTCAAAGTTAGAACGAGGGTACAGCCGAAGGCTAAGTTAACAGGAGCGCTAATTTTTTTTACATGGTAACTGTGGCGTATTATAACTTGAGCATCAAGATATATGTAGTTCTGGCAAGCTAACTATGTCTTCAACTTATTTACTTATATAAAGAAATAAACTGTACACTGGAAAACCAAGATCATTTAGCCAATATATATAATTTTTTAACTGCAAAACACAGGGACAATGCTTCTATGTCATTAACAAACGATAAAACAATAAACACAGCTATGAAATGATACTATTTTTCCGGATTTAAATCGCGTATATTTGTTTTTTCAAACAGGTGCCATGGTCACGGTAGTCCACGTTTCGGGCCCTTTACAGGTCCCATAGTCACGGTTGACCATGGGACCTGTAAAGGGCCAGAAACGTCGGTTTGTTTAAAACAACAAATATACTCGTACGTATAATAGTTTCATTTCCTATGTGTAACAATCACGAAAACCTTAGAACACAAAATAAACACAGCTACCAAATTGCTGGATAAGTTAAAGTAGTATAACTTAATGGGTAAATTAAAAAGTTAATAGTTGTAGAGTTTTAGTTAAAGAGCTTACCCTAACTTCTGTTACATTGCTAAACATTTATTTGTTGTGTGATAAACTTTTAATGATTTCACTGTTTCCGTATGTCCTCGCAAATTTAAGTCTCAATTTGCGAGTACACGTGAAAAAGCGTTGGTTTGAAGATACATCGTAGATGGATAGCAGTACCTTTATTAAACCAGACGTACAAGTTTCTATTTCGCAAATACGCGCCAAACCTCTTTATCCATTAGTTATAAAAACGTTGTATCGTACAAGTTTCATTGACCTCATTTTCTATGCGATGGATAAAGATTAAACGGTTTATGGCTTATTGGTTTCTTCATTGATTTTTAAAATATATATTATTTTAAAATTTACCAAAATTACACACATTTTTTAAATAGTTACGTACTCGTATCTGCAAAATTTCTCAATAGAACCTTCATTTCGTTCGTGAATAAACTTCCTTGAATCTAGTGGCTGGAACGAAATAAACTAGGTACGTGAGCCAAACCATGCCCTGATCTTTGAACAAAATGCCAATTAACGGCATTGAAAGCACAGGAAATCATGGACAGGTCGAACAACCTCTTGAAATGGAAAGCCTGAGAGTTCGCCACTTGATAGATATCTTTCCACCGTAAATATCTGTCAGTTTAGAAATCCAGAATAATTGCAACCAATCATCCAAGTTAGACAGACCCAGATACCTACAAATAGAGCTATTTATTATGTCTTCACTTTCTAAATAATATTATTTCTTCCAACAGGCAGGCCTGCTTCGAACGGAATATGGAGAATACTGGATTGAACCATCCAACCAACTAGATATCGACGACGCTGGTGGACGACCACATGTTATGTTTAAGCGATCCGCTGTGGACAAGGTAGCAGCTTACCACAGAGCGAAGAGAGCTGTTAATAGCATTAGAAAACCATACAATACCAACACTAATCCTACATACAAAGAACAAGAACAAAGAAAATATGAAGTACGGAGATTAAGAGAAAGCAAAGAGGCTAAAGACAAAAAAAGGAGACAATACTTAGAAGATAGACGGAGACGACTGGAAGCTCTAAGACGCAACCCTACCGATTTTAGAAGACAACAATGGAAATTACGTATGGAACAAAGACGAGCACATACATATCCAAGTGCATCGAAAAGCTCAAGTAGTTCTATGGAAGCAAAATCAGAAGCGAACAAGTCTTACGAACAATTGATTCAATCGAGGAACATAAATCGAAAAGCAAGTAGCGAACAAAAACCGAGCAGAATTAGAAATAGAAAGAAAAGCCGAGGAAAGAAGAGGAGGAAGAGGAACTGTGCAACAAAACAACCACCATATCAGTGGAGAACACAAAATAAGTTGAACGGTCCAGTAGAAAACAGAATCGATAGAAGAAACAAAATTGATAAAGTAAGTAATATTAGGTAAACTTCTAAATAGACCGCTATAAGCGCGGCCCTGCCATAAGTTGCGGGACATATGAACGTATGGTTCTTGACCAATTACAGCTATCAGACAGTATAAGAACTGAGATCAACCTCCTTAACCCATAAGGGTACATAGAATAGGAACTAAATCATGATTTTTTTTCTATTATTTTTTGGCGTACAATAAATAATTTTTGTGTTGTATTGTATTGTAAATTATTTATTTCCAGAATCATTATCGAAACCCTAATCAGTATCACCTATCTAATCGCGGCGGCTTCGAAATGAGACGGTCAAAGCGGTCTGTGAGCAAGCCTCGACATGTTGAAGTTCTGCTAGTGGCCGACCGCTCCATGACTGACTTTCATAACCAGGGCAATTTGGAGACTTATCTTCTCACTATCATGAACATGGTATATCTCTCAATATTTACCCATTTATGTTTTTAGTATCGATACGTCAGTTGTGGCTCAATACATGACAAAGTTTTTTTACTGTTCTCAAGGTATCATCACTTTACATGGACCCATCAATCGGTAACTACATCAAAGTAGTCGTAGTGAAGATTATTCTAGTGGAAGAGATGGAATCAGCTTCTAACCTGAAAGTGTCTTCAAGTGCCGACGAGACCCTCACCTCTTTCTGCAGGTGGCAGCAAAGTATGAACCCTGACAACGACGAAAACCCTCACCATCACGATGTAGCTATTCTAGTGACGAGACAAGACATCTGCAGCCAGCACGACACTCCTTGTAGGTATGAACAAGCTTTTTCCTACTTTTACAAATTTATGACACCGAGCCATATTCACATGTACGTCAAAAATCCTAATCGCACGTTTAATTGTCAAGGTGTTTTAATAATGAGGCTCTTCATCTCTTGGCACGCATCGATCTTAACTATTTTTATGAAGCATGCATACAGATTTTATTTTAAACAGATTGTAAAATTTTTCAAAACAAAATATACAAGTAGATCTTCGTCTTGACATTGTGCCATCAAAGTCAGCTGTGATACTTGACAGGCAAGCAACAAAGGCAGACATGTTCTAAAAAAACCGAAAATAGTCGATACTTTTGTCCGTCGAAACGTTGCCTCTTTGGTCAAGGTCCAGTTAAACTAAGAGGCCAAAAATCCTGGCTATTTTTGCGTTGACAATTAGAAAAGTTATTGTATAAAGGATAGGAAGCGTAAATGATAAATAACATCCACTTGATAAATAAAATTCACTTCTTTAGCTAGTTCTGCGTGCGTCTGGTGTAGCTAATGTTTGGTACATTAGTCTAGTGTGGAGAGTTATCTATACACATAATTTTTGCAACCATCGAGACAAGGTCAATGGAAGCTTCTGTTCAGAAAATTGGGATGAGTAACTCGGACCGAAATAGAACACTTTCACATTTGATCCAAGTTTGTACTGTTCACCTAGCTCCTACTAGAGTCGCCCAAATTACGCTGAAGCTGTCAAGCTGTTGATGTCGCTTAATGAATATAATCAAAATAAACCTCTATGCATCTCGCCGTAGAACACATTGAAATCATCATAATATTATAAACAGCGCGATAAATACACAATAATAATAATAATATTAATTAAACGTATTATACACTTCCAATTTCATCACCAAGACCAAATCCTTTAATGAACTTATATTCTTTTCGATTCTTAGACTGAGTCATTGATTACAAAAACTCGTGTCACAGATTCATTCCATGTGCTTTCTCAAATTTTTAGCACCTTTCTGTTTTCAATACAATAACGCCTTTAATCTTTCGTAATCAATTATGGGGCATATGTTGCGTGGATGTATATTTTCCTCCTGCAAAATGAAATAATGCTTCAGCAGATATACACCATGCTCCGCGTGTTAAAAACCAGTTCGCATTACGTAAATTTTGCATGTTTAGTCTTCTCCTATGTTTATTTAATGTTACTCAATTCTCTGACTTATTCATATTAATTTAATCAGACAGTAGTTGTGAACTTTTTACGCTTACTGGTTAATTTCCATTATTTCTAACACTAACTTAATATGCTGTTAAAATTTGATGAAAATACAGGCACATGGGATTTTTATCTTTTGTCTCAAGGTGGTGGGCGCAGTGGCAGTGCCCCTCAGAACTTTACGATATTAAGCTCCGAGCGTACTGCACCTGTTATGAACTAGTTCGTCCCATCACTTGATACCACAAAAAAGAAAAAAAATACTTTACTATTACAAGGCTTAACACTAAAGTATAAATAACGCTTGGGCAATTTAATATTAGATTGCCAAACATATTTCATTTAAAGGTCACGTAAATAAATAAATAGTGAATTGATAATCCGCTGCAAAATTTCAGTGTCTGTGCGTTAGTTGCACATGTTTAATCGCTCCTTTGTTTCGTTGACATTGACCAGAACATTCGCCTCTCAGCGGCGGCACTGTGTCTGACGACGAAGCTTTGCAGACATCATAGATCGGTGTAGAGCGGCCAAGGCTTCCATAATTAATTACATGCTTCATTTTGTTTATAACATGTGTAATGGTTAGTACTCTAATTCATTTTACACTTCATAATTTCACCAAAATTATGTTTACTTACATTAATAGTTTATATTTAATACCTAGCAGTAGTAGAGCTTGTGGACTAGTTCGTTCAAGGAAGTATTGCCACCTTACCTATTTCTGCCGCAGTAATGTGAGCAGGGTAAGAGTGGTGGTGAAATTACAGGCACATGGGACTTGTCAACTTATGTCTCTGGGTGACGAGTGCAGTGGCAGCGACCCTCCCTGAAACCTTTGTGATTTAAAGGCTGGCTTTATGGACAGGCATGTTGCTTACCACCAAGAGCACTACTTGTTCGTCCCGTCACTTGATGTCATAAAAAACCTAATTATACATTTTAAAACACGAACCCATCGAGAATCACAAATTAGAAAACTGAAACGGCACAACGCCAACAACTGACCAGTGTGTACGTCTCCGTATATTCCGAAAATATTATTATTTTATTTTTATTATTTATTGTAATAAAGATAATATTTTTTAACAATGGGCTGTTTGTTCCATGCTATTGAAGTGGTCGATTTGAAGTGAAACAATTGACGACACCCGTCAATTGTTTCGAATTCGGACTGGCCAATCGGAGCGCAGTTGTCACCGTAGTGATGAATAGTTTTCAAACAAAATAAATGACATTTCATCTCTATTTCTGGTTATATACTCGATAGACGAACCCAAATCCGAAATGAAGAACTGAGCTGTTACTACACCGTTATAATTGTATATTCGGCAAGTGTTAAATGTATTTGATCACAACTACACTCAAGATACACTCATCTTGGTGATGTTTAAGAGGCTTGTGTTATCTTTAAAGATACTTAAGTTCTTAGCACTCCAACGGGTCAGCTCAATGTTGTACCTTTGTTCTGTCGAAAAGCCGCTTTATTAAGCCACAGTAGTCTTATGTCTCATTGTGTTTTAAACATCCGACAATGTCTGTAAGAAGCGCTTTTACAAAAAGTTGCGAAAGACCGTGCTGGCTGGCGAAAAACTTTTCTGGATTCTAAATAGTAATTAGGAAGTAAATAAAGCTAGAAAACGGGTTAAAAAACAATGCTTGGGTTATGTATATCAAACAATATTAATTTAAAAAAGAGAATATCTATTTTCGATACACTTAACATTTAAAAAGGATCTAATTGCTTATTGTTACTTCAAAATTGTAGTGTTTTCCTAGGTTTCGAAAATACTTACTTTACAGAAACCTTCTCTGTTTATAGGGCTACAATGTAATCAATTTCACACATCAGTACGTCATACAACATTACATAACACAAGATTGTGGCTATTGCCGGCGTAATGAGGGACACACCTAGGGTCCTTGTGCTTAATGTCTTTGAAGTCGCCGACAGTTTGCCGACAGCAAACACTGCACACAAAATTTCGATGACCTGTGACTATTTTTCGTTTTTATCGTACTTTTCTTAAAGCAAAAGATACATTATAAAACAACAAGGAGCAAATAAAATTGGTTAATAAAAAGGCGATAACGATGTAAACGGAGTTGCTGATGTGTTTTGGCAACATTGTGATTGATACCTTGAGTAATTGTGTAAATGATGGATTGTTATTAAATTGTTGACATTATGAGTAATTAGTGGTAGTGTCAGCTTGTTTTGAGAGGTGGGGAAACGTGACAATCTCGTCTTTTATCTCGCGCTTGAATTACATGTATATTATTTTCAAAGGCAAAGTCGAATATTCTTTATTTCATAGGTAAGCAAATTACACTTGTAATCGTCATATTGATTAAACTCTACTGCTCATTCGTAAAGCAGATTCCCCAGGAAAGAATGAGCAAGAAACTATCGAAACAACTTGAGGAGCTAAACGGGTCACTACCACGAATTTTTGTCCTCTAAATACCCAGAAACCAGATAATAAAAAAATCTTTAATATATATATTTTTTTACTATAGTTTTAAACCCACTGAATGGCAAATTTTGAATATCAACAGGATTTTTTTTTTATATTATCTAATGACGCTTGCTTGGCGGCAGAAATAGATAAGGTGGCAGTACTTCCCTGGACGAACCCTTTCACAAGGAGCTTTACTACTACTACTAAGAAATCTTTTAATAAAAACGTATACGTGGCTCCACTAGCCACTTTATTTTTATTTCTGTTATTAATGTTTGTCTGTCATTATTTTCATTACATTTGAATTCTATATCGTAAAGTATAAGTACTTAAATTCAAATTAAATTTGAAAATATCTTCATTTCATAGATAAGTAAATAACTTGAAATTGTTAAATTGATGAATGATGATGCACTAAGTCATTCGTAAGGCAGAGTCCCCTAAATAAGAAACAATAATGATTTCTCCATATAAATAGTTATTTGTTAAAATATTCTCAGATTAGTTTGAGCAAATATCGTTGAGAATAATTATTCAAAACTATTATAAGCCAAAAACAATCTAAACAGCTAAACGGAGCTCTCCTATTGATTTATAATAAATAAATAAATATATACAAAGAAATATGTAACTGCCTCTGTGGCCGAACGGTTGCCATCCTGGACTACCACGCAGAGGTGCCGGGTTCTATTCTCAGGCCGGGAGAAACATCTGTATGGCCATTTTATTCCGGGCTTGCACCTCTGATTTTCCGGAATTTATGTGCGGAATTTCAATTTGAAATTTCAATTCTGTAAAGCAATTTAATGGATTATTCCCAAATGATCCCCTGCAACTGATCCACCGCCAATTTTAAATCCCAACTGATCCACTCTACATTTTTGAACTCCCAACAGATCCCCTCATTGTATTTGTAAAGTAAGTACAGTCAAGAGAAAAGAAATTTTAAAATCAATCATGGAGCAATTGTGGTCAAATATTATAATTATCGCAGACCATCAAATTTTTTTGTGACAGGTCATTAACGTTGCCATATTGCAAATCACAGTAACAAAAACTCAGTCTTAAGTAATACTTAAAAATATAAGTTTGTCTAAACAGTGACTAACTGTGATATTCCTAGTCAAAAGTTGGCCAGTGACGTATTTGTGCCATTTATCGATTGCTATTGCCATTATATGCTATTAATCGTCGTTTTGTTAATGGGTTTGTTAACTGTAAATTACTTATATTAATTAATACGCATAATTTGCAAATTTTTGTCATCTCTTTGAGCTTTTAAAGGTTTTTCTTATTGACTGTCCCATAGTACCTACCAAAAATAACCTTGATAAAACCAGGGCATCACG